AAATTCATAATAGTTATTGCGAAATCGGCAAATGAAAATGATGCAAAAACAAACATTCAAATATACCCGCCCTTTTCAGCGCCGTGACGTCAGTGGAAGGTTAGCTTGCCAGTCGGGCGAGCAGTCTAAAAAATAGAATATGCCAATCATTTGTTCCGTGCTGGAGCGCGGGGACTGGAGCGAGCTTCCAAAGCATTCATTTGACACCATGAAACTGCTTCGAATCAGTTGGGAACAAATTCTACAGTCCAAAGAGTGAACCCCTGCACTTCCAATGACGTAACTTTTTCATTGTTGCCAGTAGAGACTTTCAGTTTGAAAAACACGGTGACGACCAAAATTGTAAATTCAATAGCTTCGTGAAAAAAAATTATTTTGATCTAATATTTGGGTTACTATTTTGGCGATGTTGTTTGGCGAGTTTAGCAAAATTTCAAGCAAATCGGGGACCATGAAGAAATCGGCGGAGTACCCCTTTAACGTGCGATATCAGTGATCATTTGCCAATATACTGTCTAATGCCTGTTAACCAGCTGCGCAAGAATAAAGAAAAAAAGCTGGTTAGAGACTATTCGGAACGAAATATTCAACATTTCAAATATCTTATTTCCTGCCTAGATTTGGATAGTGTTTTAAGAGAAAATGATGCAAACACAGCCTATGACGTTTTTTTTATCCTGCTTTGTGTCCGCGTATAGCACCTCTTTTTCCTTTAAAGACACAAAAAAAAACATAAGAAAACTCAAAAACCATCGATATCTCATGAATTATATGCAAGAATTAAAAACCGCAACAAGCTATTTCAAATATTTCTAAAAACGAGAAGCGAAATTGACCTTTGCATATTTAAGAAAGTTCGAAATAAACTAAACTCTGATATTAAAAAAGCAAAATGCGAATATTATATGAACAAATTTTCAGAGGTTATGGGAGATCCCTGCATGATATGGCAAACAGTAAACGAGATCATTTCTAAAAATACCTCGGCAAGAAAAGTTCAATATTACAATGAGGCGCTGATGGATGAACAAATAGCAAATCTGTTCAATGTGCATTTTGTGGCTGTTGGTGCTGCTTTAAATAAATGTGTAGAAATACCAACAGAGCAGTTCATATCGACAAACTGTCTTAATTCCCTCTTTCTATATCCCACAGACCAGTGCGAAATAATGGAGTTAATTCTAGCATTAAAGAATGATTGCGCCTCCGGGGCAGACGACATTAAACCAAAACCGTTAAAAGCCGTTTTCGACACAATCAGTATCCCACTCGCGCACGTTTGTAACCTCATGTTATCTACGGGTGTCTTTCCAGACAAAATGAAGCATCACGTGTGACGGTTATACACAAAGGTGGCCCAGTTAGTGACTTAAATAACTATAGACCTATTTCTGTACTTTCATTTTTTGCAAAGATAGCCGGATATATTATAAATAAAAGACTTGTTAAGTTTTTGACCTTCAATAACATTTTAGTAAAAGAACAGTTTGGTTTTCAGAAAAATAAATCGCCAGAAGTTGCACTTCTTGGAATTAAAGAACAAAATCTCGAGAACATAGAACAAAAAATATACACGCTTGGTATATTTCTCGATCTCAAGAAGGCTTTTGATTGCGTTCAGCATGAAATACTTTTACAGAAACTTCCGTCTTGCGGAATACGCGGTATTTCCTTATCACTGTTTAAAAGTTACCTCACTACAAGAACGCAATATACAGTAGAAAATGGAGTAAAGTCAGACGTTCAATACATAGAGTAGGGGGTTCCTCAGGGGTCTATTCTTGGTCCTATATTATTTTTGTTATATATTAACGACATTGTAAACATACATGGCAGTTCAAATATAGTTCTATATGCAGATGACACAAATTTTTTATTTTCTGGCTCGGACACTGACGACCTCTTTGGAAAGGCAAAACAGTGGTTGCGGGGATTAGACTTATGGCTTACATCCAATAACTTTATTTAAACATAGAAAAAACAAAGTACTTCCTGTTTAGACCAAAAGGAATGATACCACCTTCCAATTTGCAATTAAAATTCCAGGAGTCTTATATTAAACCATCTTCAATCATTCGATTCTTGGGGTTTTATTCTATGAAAATCTATCATGGACGCCACATCCTGATTCTTCGCGAACAAGTCTTTGTCGAGCTGTTGGTGTTTTGAATAGATTAAGATATTATCTTCCAACAAAAGTGAAACGTCAAATTTATTTCGCTCTTGTGCAATCCCGCATAAGTTACTGCCTTTTAGTGTGGTCAGCGACAACCCAAACAAATCTAGACAATATTGCATCCATACAAAAGCGAGCATTGCGAGCAATTGGTGACATACAACTTCTTAAAAGTGCCACACCATATTTTAGGACATATCAAATACTCAACGTAAGAGCTCTACATCAAGATAAACTATCACTTGAAATTTGGCGGCAATTTCAGCTCGATAAATTGGTGTTCCATGCTAAGTACCACGCGAAAGATAGCTCGTATAATTTAGGGCGTCATTTATTAATAAAATCGCGTTCGCGAACGAATTATGGAGACCAGGGGTTGAGTTTTCTTATACCAGACCATTTAGACCAGTACCCGTATATTTTAGCTTCATTGGAGTGCGTACGATCACTCTATCTATATAAAAATACTGTAAACGAACATTTACTCACAGGGGAATAAAACCGGATGTGTTTTAAGCAAAATGCTTAGGATGATAACTAGCAATTGTCATTTCACGTCATGTTTTATGATGTATTTGTTTTGCTTTGTTTAGATTTTTAGTTTGGAGTGAAATTGTATCGACACAATCAGTATTGTGTCGATACAATTTCCTCATTTGCCTGTTTTTGCCACCGTTGCTGCCAAAAGGGTGGCAGCAGTAGCCGTGCAGTGGGAAACCGAGGAAAAGGATTAGAGGAGAAGATGGACGCCCGGGGCGACGACAAAGCGCCCAGCTACGGTTGGAATTACAGCGGCCTACAGTGAGCTCACTTCCCTCTCTCGCTCATGCTTCGAGGAGAGGTGTTCTATGTCGGTTGTCAAGGAGGCCGACGAGGGCGCTGCCATAGACTCCTCCTGCCGCCTCCCAATTCAAAGGGAACAGCCGCCATTTATCCACCGTCCTGAAGCGTCCTGAAGCGTCCCGACTGTGCTCGGCCGCGGTGTTTCCGTTTGGCTTCGGTGGCGGCGTTAAGCGAGTGACTGCACTTCGCGTGTGCTCGTCTGCCTGCCTTGCCGTGAGATCACTGTGATTACTGTTGTCTTGCGGTTTGGTTCTTTGACTGTTCTTCGACTAAAATGCAAGGATTTCCAATCGCCGGCGAAACTACAGTTCTGCGCCTAGCTGTAGAACAGGGTTTACGCTCGCGTGAAGGACGCGCAGAAAGTGAATTCTTCGGTGTGCCCGAAGACGAGGAGTGGCGAAAATTTGGTAGAAGAACTTGCATCGAGCGGCCAAGACTGTGGACGAGACCTCTGCTCTGTGTGAATTACATTTTAAACCACAGTACGTAATTAGGGATTACGTGCACGTCATCAAGGGTCAAAAAGTTCCGCGCTCAACGTGGAAACCCATTGCTTTCGGCTGACGCAGTTACTACAATTCTTCTGAATCTTCCCAGCTATCTTACAAAAAGAAACACAGAAACACACACATGAGCTGATACGCACGGGATCGCAGAAGCCCGCGGGAAAGCTTCAGCAGTCGACAGGAGCGCCATCACTCGATTTTGACACGAACCGCCTCAGCAAGCGGTTGCGGTGAGCCCTGTATCCCATTCTAGGCTACGGTAATGGAATGATTGTGTGTAGAATTAAAGCTATAGCTGCCTTTGCCTCGACTCCCTGTTCGAATGTGCGCAAATAGCCTTTGCCTCACACCTATCATCCTAATCAGCATTCGGCACTCTGAAGGACCTCACATCCCCTGCTCTTCCTCAATTTCTCACCGTATAAACTCAATCTGTTCAAACAGCAAAAAAAACTAATTTTCCAAAAATAAAGTATCGGAGGACGCAGGTCGACAACCTCACTTTGCACGCGCACAACTTTTGGGATGTTTGAACAGCGAGGGGGTTGCGCAGCGAGCCCGGGTTGCGACGAAGTCGTACAGTGCTCCTTGGCCATTGCCGCGTCTAATGGCTAGTATCGTTATCCGTCTACGCAACAAAATAAACAAATACAAATATACAATTTCTTTCCAGACACGTGAGTACAAGTATAGGCGATCGACGGATGATCGCGTTGTGGGAGAGCAACAGAAAGCTGTACCTGCTCACGCATATAACCTAGGCTGCCCGATTCATGAGAAGGTTTCTAACTTAGAAATGAAGACAAAAATGAGGTCTATATTAACGTACACGCGTTATGTTCATCGAAGGGAAATAAAGTTTCGCACTATATAGTTCCTAAAAGATTAGCAATTTATAGGCGAATGTGGCCGTTTTACACACGCACTCACACGACCCTTAAGGGGCATTCACACACGGGAAAAATTCCTTCTTTTGCTTCTCGGGAGGCGCATTACTGGGCAAGAACGTCACGCAGGGTGATAGGGGAAAATTTATACGGGCTGCACAAACACTCCCAGCCTTGCGTGGGTTCTCTTTGCAACTGGCGGTATTTTGTTCATATGTCTGGCAACTTTAGGGATTTCGCTCAGCAAGATGATGGCACCGCCGGAACGCACAACCCTGCCCGAAAATCATCCCCCATGTGAATACCCCTTTAAATATATCATGTCCCTCACTGAGCTCGGAACGCCAGTCGTTGGTCTTTCTTTAATCCGTTCAGACAATGAAAAGGACGATCCTTTTCGGACTTCCATTGTCAGGCACTTTGAGTGGCAGAAAAGACCCTACGCCACTTAGCCACTGAGTCAGTGTGACCAGTTGGGTCCGATACCGTCCGCCATTGATTTTGATTGAACTGGTTCAAGGAAGACCGATGACTAGATTTCTGAGCACATCCCCGCGTTCCATACACCCCGGGGACTTGCTGGAGTGCTTATCGATCAAGTTTTCGAGCAATGCATTTCCTGGGAACCTGTCTGCTCTTTTTCTTCCGCTTCAGCGGCGAGTCCAACCTCCACTTGTCCTCTTGCGCAGCCTCCTGGCCCTTGTCGGCTGCACTCAACGCCAACGTCTCTGGCAACGAGAGGACCAGCAAACCTAATGTAAAGAACACGACCGCGTTGACGAGCATGGGGATCAGCCTGTCCATCGGAGGATCCAGAAGTCGCAGGGCGCTGAAAAGCGACGCTGAGATGCCGCCTAGGCGCCCGAACAGGAAAGCGCCGCACATGCCAGCGCTGCGCACCGCTGTCGGAAAGAGTTCGACGGTGAACACAAACATGGTTGTGAACGCCACTTCCACCAGGAAGGCGGTCGGAACCGCGACTTTCGCGAACGCCAGCTCCATCCCCAGGGCCACCAATGCCACCAGTGACGTCATCAGCACGGACAGCCCCAGAAAGTAGGCCGACATCGGCTTCCGGCGGCCGTAGGCCCTCAGCACAAAGTAGTTGACGGTCTGAGTGAACATGTTGGCGATCCCGATCATTACGTAGAACGGGACGGCACCGCCTCCGAACGATTTGTATTGAGCTATGCTGTAGTAGCAGTTGAAGATGGCCCACCAACCACCGAAAACGATGAGCGTTTGGGAACGCAAAAGGGGCGAGCTAACGATGCTGAAAATGGTGGGCCTGGCGGTGAACCCGTCACGCGAGACGGCGCTTTCCTTGACCCTGAAGTACGCTGAGCGTACCTTGTCCAGGTCCGGGAGTCCGTTCTTTCTTGCCGCCCAGAGGGTAACCCGCTCGGCATCCTTGAACTTCCACGAAGTGATAAGCCAGCGCGGAGACTCGTCCGTTAGGTGGTAGGTCAGCAGCAGCAGTAGGGTGGGCGATAGCACAACAAGCTGCATTGCCGACCAGTGCATCGAGGTCGTGCCTATAAGGCCGAGCACCACCGTACCCAGCACCAGGGGTACGCAGATGTTAAGCATGCAGAAGAGCATCCGGTGGTCTTGCGGAGTCACCTCGAAGAGCAGCACGGTGCTGATAGCCTGGGAGGATACGGGCATCGTGTCCGAAGCCCTTCAACGTTCCTGAGGAACGGCACTTCGATGCTCTCAACATACCAATAGACCATTCCGAAAATACGCAGCGCCTCTCATCGTCTTTTCGACGTACTACGGCAATTCGATGTATAAAGCGCGAAGGAGAACAATTAATACGAGTGGTTCATGCTGGTCAAGCATTGGGCGATTTTAAAACGAAAAAAAAACAAAAAAACAAGACGATAACATATTAGGTTACGTTTCGGCATTTCGATCTGTTAGACTCTTTTTTACGTCTGTCCTGATCTAGCAGTGGTAAGCTAGAGGCATTACACTTCTTCCAGGACGTAAAAAACGCTCAAGCCGGCCCGAACATACATCGGAAGGGTTTCACAATTCCCCGCGCGATGCAATATGGGAATGACGAGAGGCCTTGCGGGATTTTTCGGGAAGGTAGATTCTTAGTCCTCCTTGAACCCGTTCAGCCAGTGATAAAGACGTGCTTTTATCATTTCCCAGTGGTAAACATGACTTGCACTGTTGCGGGTGTACCTCGTGCACCACATATTTCGCACAACCGAATTTCTTTTTCACTGCAAAAGCAATAGGAATGACTATTGGTATGGTTCGATGACATCAAGTGCGAGACATGTATGCAATAGACCAATCCCACCAAGCGTTCCACGCATGCATGACGCCGCCATAACTGTAGTTCGTAGGAGGCAGACGCCAGTTCACGCGACAGCTCATGCTGCCTCGTGGTCTGCTCGCGCAAACCTCCAGCAGGGTTGTCGCGCGTGCAGAAAGACGACAGCTCCCACGATGCATATCGGCAGCGGTGGCGTACTCAAACTAGCTGGTGAGATCGGTCTATTGGAGCCTGCGCTACGGTCGCCTTCTCATGCCGTTTTACAGGTGAGAAAGATTTAAAAAGCCTTCAAAATATTTATGTCCTAACGCTGAACACTAGTGAGAAGTAATCCTTGACGGCAATTTCTTTTTTTTTTTTTTTTGTTAATTCAAGACATGACAGGGAACAACTACAACAATTATTTGACCGAATAATGCGATCGAATAATGGTAGTTTTTCCCTGTCATGTCTGGATTTAAAAAAAACTGAAAACCAATTTGCTTCGCGCGTTCGTTTTTGAAAACAGAAAAGTCATACAAGTGACGTTTTCGGCGTCTCCAAACCACTCTCAACTCTTACATCGTCTTCCGAGTCACGTGCTCAGTGACGTATTTCCAGGTGCACTGAAGACACGGAGAATCCCCTTTGGGTTCCTTTTAGCCGATTCACACGACGGACTGATCCGCGGACGGATTGATCACGTGACGACATATCCGCGGTTCCTCCGTCTCCCGAGCGCATCCACACGAGGGAGACGACGAGCAGACGCCAGTGAGGACGGACCGAACCTGTTCGCACCCCACAGTGCCTCGAAACTCCCAACATCGCACAGTAGCACCGTTGTCCAAGAGAGAAATCGACGGTTGCTACCGCGATAAAGAATGGTACGCCGCTGCTACGTACAGATCGAGAACAAAACACCGGGACAGGTTTCGCGCGAAGCGCCACTAACTTTACTAACCCAAAGCATGATAGTGACACAGGTATGATCCTGCCCGAGAAAGCTTCGGCGTAGACGCGACGAACTTCTGGGCTCGCGGAAGGGCGTTTGGAGATGCCTTCACACACTCCGCGCTCGTGCACAACACTCAAGCACACCACATCCACAAGAGAGGGCTTGCTCGGTGAAATCCTGATTGGACGTGCAAGAATTATCGCGGCGTGCTAGACTAGTTTTGACGGGAGCTTCTTGACACGGACCCGGAGGAGCACCGGAACCTGCGTCGCGTCAGCCGGACAAAGTTTCTGGAGTTTCTCTCACGCGTGGAACCAAGAATCGTACGACAAAATGAACCAACAAACGCACAACACGCAACGACGCGCCATTTTTGTTTTGAACGCACAGAAGCAAAATAACAAGAAAATCATGTACCGTTGCCAGACTAAATGCTTTCCAAGTCAGTCTGCCGCCAAACGTCCGCGAGTGAAAAAGGCGTTCGACTTTATCAGTCCGCGCCTCCGCGGAGGAGGCGCGGATCGCAGGAATCGGTGACGTACCGGTCACGTGGTACACAGTCCGCGGACGAAAATCGCGATTTGGTCCGTCGTGTGAATCGGCTATTTCCAGAGCCTCCAAATCGCGCGTCTTCTGCTTGCGATTCACACGGTGACCTTGAAGATTGGTCTGAGCGGTGTGGAGAGGGGGAAAACGAAGGGAGGGAAGGAGGCGGAAAGGTTGCTTTTCCCGAAGGAAGCCCGACTGGCATAGTAGCTAGGGGAGGAATAGTGAACGGAATAGTCAAGAGGAATAGGAATGCTAAAGGAATAGATTTTTTTCCACCTCAGGGAGATTGCACCACTAAAACTGAATAATGTACAGCTTTGTCGATGATATAAAGTTATTGACGCATTCACACATGTTGAAAGGAGAATATTCATAAGATATAGCATTTGATTGAGCACATAATGGCACATCTTGCTAACTTAATACATTGCACCCAGGTGTGCGTCACGTCTTATTTCCCATTGCCGCCACCCCGCGGCTGCAAATCGCGAAATATTCCCGTTATTTTCTTCGATATTACGCTACGTAATTGCGATACAGTAGATTCTCATTAATTTAAACGCCAGGATTCCCCAAGTTTTGTTTGATTTATCAGAAGCTCATTTAAATATTATACAATCTACTATTACAATCTGCCATATGATCAATGAAAAAAAACGGTTAAAGTGCAGGCGAGCTGGTGTAAGTTATACATGATGATTGAAACCTGAGACTGGTTGAAAAACGGAAACTCGTGAAGTAGGTAGAAAAAGAAAAACGAATGGCTTCACATACAAAACAGATAAAGGATGATTTCCTCTACATAGGCCTACAGATCATGAAGAGGTATGCCAGACATAAAACAATTGTGAAAAGCTTGACATAAGTTTATTTATCCCTCAAAAATGTTGTTTCTAGTGGAACCTAACCCGCATGACAACTGAAAACGAAATTTCGGTTTGTTCATCAGGCCAACGTGTCTAATGTGGACTATTAAGCGGGGGACACATGAGCGATGAAAATGGGCACCGGGTGGCAGTTATCATAGCACCTTGCGCTTCCGCTGTAACGTGGACCTATTCCGTCCTGTCAGGTCACAGCGTCCGCGCAAGTTGCTCTGTGAATTTCTGCGTGGTGCCCGTTTTCTTAGCTCATGTGTGCCCTGCTTGAGCCTCGTTGAGTGCGCTTCTTACTGAGCACCAGTGTACTGTGAAGAAGCAACACCCCCGGAAATACGCTTTGTGGACGTATTTCCGGTGCTCGGAAATAAGAGCACTCAACGGAGCCGCGAGAATAAAAAGTATGAATTAAACGAAAACAGCGTTCCAATTAAGCGCTCATGAATACATTAAAAAACATTGCGGGACAACTCAAATTTTAAAATTTGTTTAAATTAACCGGATGTATGAAATAGTCAAGTTTGAATTATCCCGAGACTACTGAATTTCAAAAGAATGAGGTGGTTTTTTCCGCCCCATCTTTGCAAGATAAACGTTGTAAAAAATTAAAAACTGCAAACTCTTTCCAAGTCAAAATTATTGCAGAGCCCCTTTCACGGCACAACAATATTTGGAAACAAAACAAGTCGCGAATTTTTCGGAAGCGCCTTGTAATAATAGTTTCGGCTAGAAACCCATCAGTCATTCTGCTACAACCAGAAACCTTGTGCTTATATAGTACTATTGAGCAAAGACATATTAGTTAGATGGTGTTGTGTGGTGTGCGCCACGCCCTGGCATAGCGTAACTTTCAGTACGTTCTCTTCTTTCTTTTGTGTATAAATTCAGTTGCCAGCCAGCGCTTGCCTGTCGTGCATGTTTCTTTCCTCTGTCCTTGTCATCAAATTCAAACGATCTAAGCCAAAAGCGCGTGAAGCGATATATCTTTGTCTTTTTGTGCGCTGTACTGTTCACCTGCCTTCATCGATTGAAATAAAGAAAAACGTGGCAATATTATTATCTAAAAACAGAACCGCGCACCCCGTCACCAACCTGAAACGTGGTGATCGATGCAGACGTGAGAAGCTGCAGCACCGCAAATTCGACCAGTGTCTTCACCAGGGACGTGACCACCCCGGACAAGACCAGGCCGAACAGGGTTAGGCCGAGGACTGCCCTGCGCCCGTACTTGTCGGCCGCTGAGCCCATGATGGGCAGGAGCACCGATCCGCCGAGTGAGTACACGAACCGGAGCGCCCGGAGCAGCCACTTCCTCTCGCAGACGAGGCTGAAATCCCTCACGATGGTGGCGCCGACCTCGCTGTCGTAGTCCCAGCGGTCGCAGCTGACCTCGGTCTTGTTGTCTGCGGGCGTTGGCATCGGTGGTTCGTAGCGGGTGCAGCTGCTGAATCGTCCGTCCACGTCCTTGGGGATGCTCGTGTTCTTCCACTCGTCCGCGGACAAGCCGGCGTACTCGTCGGGGGGCTTGCACCAATGGGCCACAGGACGCGACATGACGAGGAGCGTCTGGCTGTGGACTACATTCATAAAGAACGAGACGATAGAGCAGAGCAACGCCATCCTCTGGAACTGGCCATAGCCGTAGACGTGGATGTCCTCTTCAGTGCGAGGAACTCTTGGCGACGCGCTGCGGATGTTGGCCAACTCGGTGTTTGGGTTGGCGAGCTTATTGGCCTTCAGGGTCGCCATTCTTTTGGAAGGGGATCTTCGGCGGTTTTAACGCAACCGTCTTTTTCGCCAAGTATTCGTAAATTGCAGCCGATGGAACGGATAGGTCGTCGAGACAGTTGAGACACGAAGAACGAGCCTTCGCGTGCGCTCGTGCAAACCTCCTTGCGTTTCCTTTCATCGGCGATGATGATCTTGAAGTAAGACGTACACATGCTATTTGAGTTTTTGTTTCCATGGTTTAAATGTGTTCATTAGATCATAATCAGTGTACGAAAAATAC